GCTTGGCCTGCTGTGTTCATCCAGCTCTACGCCTTGTTATCTCAGATTCTCCAGCATCTGCAGTTCCTACTATCTCTGATACCATGTCATAACAGGACTGGATGTGGGGTGGCTATAAAACAGAAGGATGAAGTCAGGCTTTAAAGTTATTGAATTCGATGTTGAGTCCTAGAAGCTGCAGGGTCCCCAGGTGAAAAATGAGATGCCGTTCTTTTGAGCTTGGACTGAGACTCACTGGAACACCGTAGCTGGCCTGCGACAGCAATGTTGGGTGGCAACATGGTGGTGTATTGAAGTGGCAGGTAACTGAAAGTTGGATATTTCAGTTGTTGCCCAAGATGGGACAACCCACTGTGACAGAAGTTAAATTGTGAATGTGTGAGACCTCTTCTTTAATATTGTGGACAAGCCTAAGAGTAACATGAACATGCTTGGACCATGTCAGAAATGATAAATTCACATGGGTGTATTGAAACCTTATTTCCATCAGACTGAAAACAAAAAATGCTGGAAATCACAGCGAGTTAGGCAGCATCCATGGAGAGAGAGAGAGCAAGCTAACGTTTCAAGTCCAGATGACTCTTCATCAGAGCCTTATTTCCATCACTTCTGCTAACCCCCAGAGCATTTTCTTGCTCTTTATTTAACAATCAGAATGAAAGGCATTTAAAATTATTGAAGAACTAATACAACTTTCTATGGTCCAGTTTCTAGATCTTATAAATGTAAGAATTAAATGTGGTTCTATTTAAAGAAAATAGCATCTCATTAATTTTTTCATCAGGATGTATGAAGGTACTGACTATAATTCTTGCTTTCTACTTGCACATCGGTTCCAATGTCACCATTGACGTCTTGTGAAAACAGAATATGCAGGTATAACTGAACCCTGCACAAGGATAAAACTGAGAGATTATCCATCACAGTCCCCTGCACATTCCAGATGTGGGCCTGACAGAGGCCATCTCCTAAGCCTTTCTATAGGGTTACATTGACATGTGAGAAGCTAAAATTAGGGAACAAGAAAATGTGGATTTAGTGTTAATTGCAGTTAATGCAGGTTCCTGCATTCAATATTTTGCTTCAATATTGTGGAATTCAGGTCCTTTTATCGATGTTATTTAATTATCATGGAGATGGTTTAACTACATTTGTTCTATTATAATCACAGGGTACAACAGAAGATGATGTCCTGGAGTCTCTGTCAGCAGACTTTGACCTTAGCTCGTCAGCTCCAATTTCGAAATGCTCGGCTGTGACCTCTCACTCTGCAGTTCCACTGTCAGTGCAGAAGCAGGTGTGTTCCAGCTCAAAACTATTTAAGACTGCAGATGGGGGACAATCTTCCCTTGTCCTGCTGGATGGAATGGCACTTGCATGACTCCTTTTTCACTGTCCAGCTGCAGCCATAATGGCTTGTCTTCCGGCTCCTGCTCTGTTACCTTGTGTCACCCAGGGAGCATTACATTGCTATCATTTTTCTCATCATATTCTGCTGCCAACCCTCTCAACTCTGCAATTCATTCCCTACATCTGTCGTCCTTTAAGCGCCTCAAAACCTACATACTTAATCGAGCAGCTGATGTTCTGTCCTAATATTCCTTACTATTCAGTGTCAATCTTTATTTGATAGCTCGGCTTTGAAGCATTGAGAATATTGCACTATGCTTAATGTACTATGCTACTGCAAGTTGGAAGTCAAGTCCGCATCTCCCCCAGGCTGCTGACACATCTGACCTCCTCTAGTGCTTTACATCCCCCTTAAAAGTGACCAGTAAAAACCTTGAAAGAAGCATTTTGACATTTTTGAAGATTCTGTCTAGTTTTATCACCAAGTTCATAAGAAATAGGTTTTGTGGCCCATCAGGCCTATACTGCCATTAAGTATGAGTATGTCTCTCTAAAAAGGACAGGCAGTACAAATAACTAACTGCCATCTGGCAGAGGGAGTGAGCATTTGAGACGTGGTTACAGTGTCTTGGATGTGTTGAGCCTCTTGGTTGGGATTCACTGACAGTAATGACTTTAAATATAAAAGGGAGGTGCTTTCTTTTGTCCTTGTTTGGTCTGAGACTTTAAGGTCTGGAAGCGAGTGAACCTGGCAGAACCCAATCTGCAAGTAGGCAGTGCTTTGATAGCATTGCTTACAACACCTTCCATCCAGCCTCTAGATCATTAGTCCAGGCCTGTAGATTACAATAGCATTTATCACAGTCACTGTCCCCAGAATGTCTCCTATGACTGCATGTCACACTTCAGGTGTTAACAAACTTGTAGAAATATTTGGTAAGTGAAACTGAAACAACAAATGTGATGTTCTTTGTCTGACAAAGGAACCTCCGAAAGCTCCCACAGCTGCCACAGTGTCTGTGGGTAAAAGTAATGCAAAGGGGAGTGAGGGAAAATATAAAATGTGAAATTGCTGGCAGCAAACAGTAGCAGCAGAGGAATGGCACAAACAGATCCATTCACATCTCACTCATCAAAGACCTTCCAGTATCAACATGGAGTAGTTCTAACTCTATGACACCAATTTATAGTTCTGATGGTCCTAAAGTTCACCCTTCAGTTTAGTTATATTGCACTTAAAATTCAATCTCATAGCTTCTGGTGGTGATGTATAGATAGCCACATCCCTGCAGTACAGGAATCACTGCTGACTGCCCTATGGAGGGCATGCAATGCATGACATCTGGATTGGCACACTTTCTGTGTGTCCAAAGAGCTTGGAAGGTTCCAGATGTCAATGGGCTGTTGCAATGCACAAAAATTAAAATTGACCAATAATTTTTCTGAGACCAACTTCTTTATTCACTCCTAAAATAAGAAATTTAGCAAGCATGGATGAGCCCACTTCTAGGGCTTTTTAAAGGACCTCTCAAGAAGTTGCATGGAGGTGCTTTTTATTTAGTTAAACTGATGCCAACTCGGTGGAAAAACCGTGACTATTTGTGCTGATGACAGGCTGAGAAAATTACATAGCCTTTCCTAAATATGGAGGCAACAGTGCAGTCACTTGCTGTGCAACATGAGCAGGACTCGCAGAGGCAGAGGTACAGGGAGGAACCAGCGTAGGGAGAGAGGAGTAGAGGTCTCTTGTTCGAATACCCTACTCTATGAAGTTCTTCTGGGAACATTAGAGTTTTGTTGGGATGAACCGAGAGCAGTGTCACAGTTGACTATGATTCACAATAGAAGTTCATGACTGAGTTGGGATATCTCCTTTGTGAAGACCTGGAGGCTCAACCAAGATTGAGGACAGCACCCTTGTGGCTGGGAAGATCACCATCTCACCATTTTCTTCTTTGCAACTGGTTCCTTGCAGGCTGGAGTTGGTGACATGAGTAACATCTTGCAGTTGATAACCATAAAGGTATCTGGATGTGATCAATAGCATGAACTGGAGGAGAGGACTTCATTCTCTTCTTCATGAGAAGGGACATTCCCTAAGCTGATAGGGCATATGGATATGCAGAGGAGTAGGCTTTCTGATGGCTCTGCAGACCCTGCGTATTAACAGTGAGTGATCCCACAACTGCAAGGACCTACCACCTAGTCATTGTGCAGTAGATGTGTAATTGCATGATGAAATTCCTAGCCCTCTTCAATGTGTGTTGACCTGAGAACACTCATAATGCATTTTTCCTTTGGCTGT